ATCGTGTTTGTTTTCACCAATTAATGACGACAGAGGAATCCTGTCTCCTCTGATCCTGCAGCATGCGTTGCTTTATTACCGGGTTAAGTCATGCAGAGCAGTAAAACAATTTATGTTTAAATATAGGGTAAGGACTTCCTGTTCATGACCTTGTCGGCTTGGGTTTGGTTTCTGTGGCTGGGGATTCCCACACCTTGTGCTGGTTTTTGCAGTTCCCTTCCCCCCTGCTCGTGCTCAGGTGTAACTTTTGTTGTGCTATTGCTGTTTTGGTTATAAAACTGGTAGTATCTAGCTGTGGATGGCTAAAGGTCCCATTGTGGTGGCTAAAACTAAATAAAGCTCCTTCTTGCTTTGGGTTCAACTTGTTTTTCAAGCTGTTCAGCACTGGGCTGCCTCACCACCTCTGTCACCACATAATTTGGGCTTTGGTGTTGCTCTGCTCTGGTTGGAGGGCTCCATTTGCAGTAAATAAGGGTCTGACTAAGCTCTGCACTGATACAGGAGAGGAAGAAGGATGATGTGGTGGTTGTCTTTGGTATTGAGCTCGTGTCTCTGCTCCTCTAGGGCAATGCTGCAGAGCACTGCCTTGTTATCCCCAAGACATGAGGATGATGGGGTGATCTGGGAGCAGACACCCCATCTGAGCTCTGGCTCAGACCCAACAACCTTCCCACACCATCTCATAGGGAGCACCCAGCCAGCTTGGTACTGGGAAATGGCAACTCATGGGGACATCTCTGTCCCCAAGAGTTGAGTTTAGAATAAACCGGGGCCAACATAGTGGCTCTCCAGGTCTACAGCAAACCTCCAGCACCATATGTGCTTGCTAGTGACCTATAATGCACCAGCAGCGGGAGCACCCCTGGGTGATGTGCTGCTTCCTTGCTGCCCGCTCAGCTCCTGCTGTATCACCTTTCTTTTCTATGTCAGGTTGTGTTGGTGACGGTATAAAACCAGTTGTGAAAGGAGGAAAAAACCAAGTGAGAAGATCAGGGGCCAGAAACATCAACAGCTAAAAGACAAAGCTATCCAACAACTGCGTAAAGAAGTCAAGGCTGTCAGATCAAATAAATCTGCAGTTGCTTATGATTTACTGGCGAGCCGGGCTGGCTTCCTGCGTGATTAGTTTTCTTCTGCTGCATGGTCGTTAAGTGGTTTAGGTCTAATTGCTCCGAAGCCTGAAGCTTTCTGTAGCTAAGAGAAACAGCTCTGCAATGGAAATCAGTGTGCTGTCTCCATGTGCCCCTCACCATCCAGTGGCCCCATCCCTGGGGGAGAGGCCATCCCAAACATGCAGCTGGCCAGGGCACCCCAGGGATGTCCCTTGGCAGCCTTCATGAGGATGCAGCCCCCCGGGGGTTGCTGCTGAGTAAACCCATCGGTATCCACCTTCCTGGAGGTAGGGGTTGTACCAGCATCTCTTGTAGATGCATAGCCTGCCTTTTGCAAACAGCAAGAGCAAAGTCCATATGGCCAAACACGTAAAGCTGGGGGCTTTGGGCAAGCTGGCAAGGAGAGGCTTCAAGTGAGGTCTTTACTGGCTGATGGGTTACAGCCTGGCTTGGGAGCAGCAGCTGCTCTTCTCCAGGCTATCGCATGGGAGGAAGGAGCTGATGGGGGGGCCTGGCTTGCTCTTGCACGCTTTTCAGCCCCTGAGGGAAGCTGTTGCAAGCAGATTGCTCTTGAGGAACCAGGCAGACAGCTTCACCACCCTGCAGTCACTGCTCTGCCCAGCTAAAAATGATAATGCCAACTTTTAAAATAAAGATGGTTGCCTGCCTGCTGCATGGTCCCTATGACCAGCTCTTTCCTTGACTGGGGAAGCCTGGGGTGAGTGTCCAGGGACCTTCTTAGGCAACCATCTGCCCTAATGTCCAAACGCAGCAGCAAGAGCTGTTTGTTGCACAACAAACCCGCCCTTCACAGCAGCTGCAGAGTGGTGGCCACACCACCTCCATGCAAAGACAACGTGATGTTTCCCCCCATCACCAGGTGTTGCTTAATTATTCAACACATTAAGCACTTTATCCTGAAGTTGCCATGAAATTATAGCAGAAAAGAAGTTGAAGAGGAGTATTTAGAGGGATTTTTTTTTTTTTCCTTCTGAGAGTAACAAAGCAAGCTGTGACTACTGGTCACCCACACCTGGGGTGGAAAGCTTCTGCATTCCTGGACGACCTCTGGCTGGCAGAGCCCTGTCCCCTCCTTGGGGTGTGCTGGCAGGCTGTCACCTTGCACGGTGGCTTTAGCTGATTGCTGGGCTTAATGAGGCTGCTGAGCAGTCTGGGAACCTCTCCCCTTGGTGTGAGCTTTGCCCTCATTAAAAGCAGTACTTTACGACACCAGCTCTTTCCAAAATGATTTTTTGCTTGATATAAATTAAAAAAAAAAAAAAAAATTACTTTAGATGGTGCATGTTTTATTTTTGAAACATGCAAACGTGTGTTACGCTGTGTCTATTTCCCTGGGATGTTACACCATGGGAGGAGAAAACATTTGTCAGCTCCTGGGGCTGGGAGGCTGGCAGAGGGACCTGCCTGCCCCTGCAGCTGGGCTCGGGCCCCCTCACTGTACATTTTCCCAGGATTTTCTTGGATACGGCTCTCCAGCCAGACAGGCATGTTGCAAACAGCAGCTCTGCCCGAGTGACACCACAGCAGCTAAATAATTTTCCTGGCTAGCTGCTAATTACTGCTTCTAGGTGCAGCTTTCAATGCGTGTCAGCCCCATCCCAGCCTCCCCCAGGAGGGGAAGCCATTGGGTTCAGCAGAGGAATTTTTGAGCATCCTCTGGTATTAGAGGCCAAAACTTGTTTGTTTGGGCTGGGAGAGGGGGTAATTAACTACCCATCTCCCCTGTCCTTCAGCTCACATATGGGGGAGCAGGTCCAGGAGCACTCTAAGCATCGTCTCCTCTGTGGCAGCTCAAAGCAGCCCATGTGCCAGCCTCCAGAGATGCCCAAAAAGCAGCTTTTCCTCCCTGGAGAGTCCTTGCAGGAGCACTTGAAGCCTTTAAAGCTAAAAGCTGCTTCGTGCAGGTACTTTAAAACATCTCAGCTGCCAGCTGGGGAGCAGTGGGTTGCTAAAGGGGAAAGCGGGCTCAGGGCTGCAGCAACTGGGTGTACGTACGGGGCCAGGCATCATGTCAGGAAAGCAGGTTTGAACTTACATCCAGAGTACAAAGTAATAATAGGATAAAAACTTCCTTGTGCAAGATGCTATTATTTCATTAGTTGGTCAGGCAAAGCCCAATCTCATTTCACTCCTGCCCAGTGACGTCCTCTCTGTCACTAAGTCCAGAAGAATGAGCTCGAAGCATATTTAAATCATGCTCTTTGTTTTCTCACTGGTAATAAATATATATATTTTAAGTATTATTTCTATGGGGACAAAGAAGTAGTAGAAAGCATCCAAGATTCTGGCTTTGAGGGTGTTTGGGAGCAGCCTGAGAGCCATGGGACTGTACTCCAGGGAAATCTTTCCTGGCTCCTGTGCCAAGCCTCGCTGGCGTTGGTGCTTTAGGGAGGGATGGTCGTGGGAACAGCTTTGGGTTTGACCCAGACGCTGGGAAAAACCCGCCTCCCAACCCCAAAGTGGCTGAGAACTGACTCCCAGCAGAGGCTGGCTGCTTTCGAGCGGCTTGCCAAGGCAGTGGCCAAATTGTGGCCAGGCAGAAGCCCGCAAAGGAGGCGAGTGGCATCCCTGTGGAGCGAAGTGGAGGTTCATACCCACCCCTCCCAAATGCACTTGCTTGGAAAGTACCAAAACAAGAGCTTGTTGGCAAACTCCTCCGTTACAAGGAGAAGGATTGAGCCAGGTCTCCCTCCTCTCGCACTAGTGGGGTCACTTAACAGGAAGATCTCCCTCAAGCTGATGATCATAGAGTCATCATAGAACAGTTTGGGTTGAAGGGACCTTAAGGATTGTCCAGTTCCAACCCCCCTGCCATGGGCATGGACATCTTCCACTAGACCAGGTTGCTCAAAGCCCTGTCCAATCTGGCCTCGAACACCTCCAGGGATGGGGCATCCACAGGAGCTTTGCTGATGGTTTGCTGATGGTTTGCTGTTCCTGCAGACGCGGCCTTCCCCGGTTGCTGTTTTGGGGCATGGGTGCTGGCTGAGGGCTTTCTCAGGGAGCTCCAAACCTCCCCCAGCCTCGTCCCCTCGTGCTGCCCTGCTGCATGCCAAGAGCCATTTAATAATAACAGCTTTGCCCGATGTGTTTCTCCTCGTGCACGTCCCCGTCGCTCGGTTATGCAAGTGTGTTTTTCATGTTTCTGAGCAAGCAGCTATTCTTGTTGTTTATTGAAAGCCCAGCCTGGACAGAGGGATAACCTGTGCATGCTGTCATTTGAAAGTCCTCCCCGTCGCACCAGCCAGGGACTGGACTGTCTCCTCTGACTGTCTTAGCGGGCAAAAGATGTCAAACGGGGTGTTTCTATGAAATGGGGGGGGGTTGGTATTGCTGGGAAGCAGGAGGAGAGAGATGCCTTCAGCTGTTTGGGGAAAATGCCAGGTGCTGGGAGTGCAGGAGCTCCTGCTCAAGGCCAGGGGGAGCGATAAAAGCTCCTTCAAAGGCAGGGACCGTGCTGGGAAGGGGGATGCGAGGCTGGGGAGGTGAGCTCCAGCCCGGGCAGGGGGCTGCCAGCAAGGAGACACTGCTGGTCCCCTGAAGTTGTCCTCCCGCACCCCAGCTTCGGGACCGGCCAGGGACCCAGCTGGGGAAAGAGGGGCAAAATGCCTCTCGCTCCCCAGCCCCACTGGTGTCGTGGTGGCCGTGGGCAACGCGTGTGTGAGTGGGGACCAGTGTGGGGGGTGTCCTTCCCCGGGCATCCTGCTTCTCCCGGGGGGGGGATCCGGGCTGTCTCCGGTAAGAGGGGTGAGGGGGGTTGCCTTTCCCTCCCCGCCGTCCCCATCGCATCGCTCCCAGCCCGGCAGCGGGGGTCCCCGGTACCCTCCCCTTCCCCATCCCCATCCCGGTGCGGCGGCCGGTGCTTACCTGCCGGGAGGAGGAGGAGGGCGAGGAGGAGGCGGCAGCAGCAGCCCATGGTGCCGGCGGGGCTGGCAGCCGCGGCGGGAGGGACGGAGGGAGGGAGGGAAGGAGGGACGCACCGCCCGCCCCAGCTGCCCGCCCGCCGCCCCGGTCCGGCCCCCCCCGCCGCCGCCGCCCCCTCCCGGTCCAGCGCCGGTGGCACAGCGGCACCTGCCGGCACCGGGGACCCGCGGCGGGGCAGCGGGTATAGGATGCAGGGCAGCAGGGACCGGCCGTAGGGTACCGGTCCGTGCTGGGGACGGGCATTGGGGTTGGGGGGTGACACTGGGACTGGGACACCCTCGGGGCACCCAACACTGGTACGGGGTGATGGGGACCCCGCCAGGAGCCAGCCTCAAGCGTAGGACAGCGTCTGTGGGCATCACACAAGGGGTGTGGGGTGCTCTTGTCCCAGCCGGTGGCATCGGGGCGGGTGCTCAGGGTGCCCGGTGGCATTGTCCCTTGGCCCTCTCCTTCCTCAGGGCCCACGCCGGCTCTTGCCTGAATATAACATGCTTTTAAAGAAATAAGTGCTGTGTGTACCTTGCTAGGACATCCCTCTTCTCCCAGGGGGACACGGGGCAGAGGCCATCTGCCATGGCTGGATGGGGCTGCCCCTGCTTGTCCTCATGGCTGAGCATCACCTGCCACATCCAGGGCCCATGGCAGTGGACACTCCAGGTACGTGCATCATGGGGAACCAGGCCAGAGCCAGGCAGCCATGGCCTTGCCCCTCCACAGCATGAGGAGCTCACAAAATGCATCTCCTGGTGCCCAAAGGACCCAACCAGGAGCCACCTGCGGCACAGCGGGAGGTACAAGCGCTGTTTTCTTACCTCTTTCCTATTGGAAAGTGTTTTGCTGCAGGTGGAATGTTTTCAGGCTGAACTCATCTTCTCCAGGCTTTTGCACACTCGCTGCAGAAGAGGATGTGCTCGAACCCTGGCCACGGCTGAGCCACCTTTCCCAGCCACCTATTCTGCTGCACGGCGCAGTGTTTCCTCTGGATGGATCCTGGCTCCGGGCCTAGGACAGCAGGACACAAAATCTAAGTCAGCTGGCATTGCTGGAGCAGCTGGGCTGCCGTAGGCCGGGCACCTCAGCTCTCCTTGAAACCCTTTCTCTGCTTGGGAGGAGGAAAAATAATGCTGTTATCACTGCAGGAACTCGGCGCCGTGGGAACCGCCTGATAACTCCCCTGCCACTTGTCTCCCATCCCTATTTTGACTAACTTGACCTGAAGGTGCTGCATGTTTTTTTTCCACGGGAAGGAGGAGGTTTCTGAGAAGAGGGCAGGGCTGGGCACAGCCACCGCTCCCCACAGCGGCATGGGGTGCAAACCCCACGCTTGAGCTGGGCGCCGGGGTGCCAAGGGCTGGGCTGTGGGAGGCCTTGAACATTCCTGCCAGGCACCGTCCTCAGGCTCCAGCTGCCCTCTGCTGGGCTCATCAGCATGGTCACCTCTGCAGGGCCACCTCTGCCTGGTGACTTCTGCCTGGCCTCCTCTGCCTGGTCTCATCAGCGTAACCACGTCAGTAGGGCCACACCTGCCTGGTCACCTTTCCCTGGTTACCTTTGCCTGGTCACATCTGCCTGATCACCCCTGCCTGCTCCCATCAGCGTGGCCACCTCTGCTCAGCTGCCTCTGCCCGGACTCATCGACATAGTCACCTCAGTGGAGCCACACCTGCGTGGTCACCTCTGCGTGGTCTTGTTGGCACGGCCACCTCTGCTTTGCCTCGTCAGTAGGGTCACACCTGCCTGGTCACCTCTGAGTGGTCACATCTGCCTGATCACCCCTGTCAGGTCTCATCAGCATGGACCTCAGCAGGTCCTCAGCAGGACCACCTCTTCTTGATCTCATCAGCAGGGCCACCTTGTCTCAACTATCTGGCCCCCTCTGCATGGCCACCTCTGCCTGTTCTAACTGGTAGGGTCACATCTGCCTGGTCACCATGGCACAGCCTGCTCTGCCTGGTGGGGTGACATCTCCAGGGGTGACATCTGCCTGGCCACACAGGTCTCTGTGCCACCCCCCACCAGGGGAGGTGTGATACAGCTACAGTGAGAGCAGAGGATATATATCCAGTGAGACATCCCTTTTTGGAACTACCTTCTGCCAGGCCTTCTCTGTTCCTGCTGGAGAATGGAAACCATTGCCTCTGGTGACATCTGCCTCGGGGCTCCAGCTCTTTCAAAATCTCTTTAAAATGCTTTTTCTCCCTAGCTGTATCCAGATACGAAGGATGCTGAAGGGAGACAGTTTTCTTTTGGTGGGCACAAGGTTTTTTGCTGCCCGCTCCCTGGCTTTGCCCGCCCCACTGGGATGAAGCTGCCTCCTCTTGGGTGGCCCCGTGCTGCATCCAGGTGCCAACTGCCAGTTTCTCTGGTCTTGCCCAAGTCCCCGCTGTCCCCACCGGAGCTTTGCAACGTTTCTACGGTGGTTTAGCACACCCTGTCTGCTTCCAGGGGGCCGGGACTGGGGTCTACCCCCACCACTGTCCCGGAGACGGGGTGGCCGTGAGCCGAGGGACGGGCAGTATCAACAGGCTGGGTTTTTTGGCTGGCTGGGGACCACGGGAGCTCACTCACTCACCCCCTGGCCGGTGGCCAAATGGCATGGCTGGGAGGCTGCCAGCGCTCGCATTAATAGCTGCCAGCCTGCGGTTTGAGGTCACCCGTTCTTTCCAGTCTTTCATTTCCCGCCTCCCCCCCGCCTTATTTCATGCCTCTAACGACACGGAGCAGGCGGCAGCCCCACCACCCCTCCCTGCCCGCGCTCCTCAACAGGAGAAGATCTTTGCCTTCCCTTGGGGCCGGGACGGCATCGGCTCAGGACACCACAACCCCACCAAGCAACCCCAGATGCCAAGAGGGGACGTGCCAGCAGCACCCTGGGGGACACCTTCACCTCCCATCCTCCCCGGGACACCACTCCGGGGACCAGAAACATCCTCCCAGCCACCCCAAGGCCAAAAAAAAATAGAACCACCCAAGGGCAGGCTGTAGAAGGCTTATGCCAAGGCACAGCCCCTCGCAAAATAATTTGTAGCTGCCGTCATTCCCTGCCAAGGGCTCTGGGAGGGTGTTTTATGAGCGGCTTGCTATGAATAAATCTCCCTTTCCATAACGCGCCGCCCAGGGATAAACAGCCCTTCGGGGAGGGGAACGCCCGGAGCCCCCCCTTCAGAAACCGGGGTGCTGGGACATGGCGGGGGGGGGTGTCCCTCCTGCTCCCCGACCCCCCGAGGTGTCTGCTCCACGGCTCCCGCCACGGCTATTCCCGGCGGGACGGGCAGGTGGATAATGCGGGGTCGTGGGGGGAGACACACACACACGCACACACACACGCACATACACACGCGTGGCGGGGGGAGACCGGGCCGGGGAGGAGCACCCCCGGACCACCAAGGGATGCCTCCAGCGGGGTAGGAGCTGGGCAGCCCGAGGAGGAAAAGGAGGAGGAGGAAGAAGAGGAGGAGGAGGAGGAGGAGGAGGAGGAGGAG